CCCCTTTGGGCACTGAGGTCCCCTCTCATTGGATGCTGGACGACTGTTGTTTTTTTTTTAAACTGTTCTGTAATTTATTGAACCCATTTGCAAATTATACTAATCCAAATAAAACTTAATTTATTGAAAAAGCCATTGGCTGTCTCTGCTGTTCGGGAAGGGGGGACAGGAATGTGGTGGGGGAACCCCAGCTTGGCCTGGAGAGATGGAGGATGGGGAATGTTACTTGCCCCGGCTCACAACCCCAGGGTTAGCCAGGACAGGTGGTGCCCTGCCCAAAGGTATCTGCACACCCCCTTCCCTGCAAAGGGCGACAGAAGAAGGTTAAGCCGTTGTTTTATTTTGGGATTCAGACTATATCTAGCATCAATTCCTGGCTCTGGCACAGGGCTTGTCCGGGCCTAGGTGTGTGAAGCAGACTGCCCTGAGTTCCAATCCCAGCTCTGACACCGTCTCCCTCTGTGGAGTTGGGAAAGTCCCGGCCCCCGCTCTGTGCCTCAGTTTCCCCAATAGTACAATGGGGATAAGTGTCCTGACCCCCTTCCAGGATGGGGAGGATCACTAAATGCCTGGAACGCATTGTGCTGAGTGGGAGCTGTCTCTGCCCATACTCAGCCTTCACGCAACCATGATATAGAACGTTTCTTCCTCTTGAAGGGAGACGTGAATTCCCAATCTGGGGCGTGGCCAGCAAGAGAGCACCCAAAAACGGGCAGAGGCGAGCTTGAAAGAGCAGTTTCTTTTGCACCTTTTTAACGCTGCTCACGTCACTCACCACTGAAATAGAGAATGGAGCGGCTGGAACAGGACTTGATTAATAACGAGCGAAAGGAGGGTAATGTCATTAATGCAAATCAGCCCCTCAGACTAACTGGATAGGTTTTTTTCATCCAAGTTTGGTTGATAAAGGTAGTAGCATTGCTATAATCTATTTAGACGGCTATCAGGGGCTTGACTTGGTACCGCACAACATTGGCTGTTTTGCTCAACAATCTGCTCTCGGGATTATTTGGGGGAAGTTCTCTGGCCTGTTTTATACAGGAGGTCATGTTAGATGACCCCAGTGGTCCCTATGAAATGCAGCCACCTCTGGGGAGGAACGGAGCAGCTGTTTACCGGCCACACAGCGCCGCAACCCAGCGGTTTCGGACGAGAAGTGGTGAAGACTACTGGATGTGACTGGAACCCAAGGGGGACTTTTAAGGAAGCAACATGGAATTTTACAAATTGGGATTTTGCCAGGAATGTGGGAAACCTCTACTCACCTCCTGAGAAAATGCCCTTGGGTCTGTAGCACAGGGTGACTTGGCTGTTTAAGGCCCTGTTCCCAGCTCAGCGCAGAACCAAGGCATTCTGGGGATGGTAGTTCCCAGGGCTGATGGGCGTTGTATTAGACAGCAATGCATGCTGGGAAAAGAGGTAGTATATAAAAGAGCTCCTTTTGCCCTGGTCAGAGATGGACCGGAAAGGAGCCATGGCTTGTCGGGAGCTGTTCTCAGCCTCCTGATTCCCCCCCCGAGGGAACGAGGGTTAGTCCTGCCTGTGTGGTCACCGGAGGAGCTGCATGAAGAACGGGAGGATGGAGAGGAAAAGCCTGGACCCGAGTTTGTTTCTAATCTGGAACTATTGGGGGGACCCTGGCGAGGGTGAATCCTGGGAACAAATGGGGCCAGGGGCCTGTGGGGGGTGTGTGGCTTGGAGAACTGGGTCAGGCACTTGCTTTTCTTTCTTGGGGCCCAGGGTGGAAACTGCTGACAGAGGGTGTGTGAGAGACACCCCCCTCCCCCAGAGTGTCGGCTTGATCCTGTTGAGAGGGGAGACGTGGACTCCCCTCCAATTGGAAGGGGTGGAGGTTGGTTTGGTTTAGTCAGAGGGTTCAACTGCCCAGGCAGTGAGGGGAAAACTGAGGCAGTGGCCTACCCCATGGACTGGGTGGAAACCCCTTGCTTGCACGATGCCGGCCCCCAGAAGTGTTTGCTTGAGCGGTTCCTTGCGGCAGAGCAGACCCACCTGGGCTAAAGGAAGAGGCGGCAGAGCTGTCACGAAGCTGGGTCCGGCTGTGCCCTGACCGCTCTGGAGAGCGGCTAAGAGGGGCTGCTCCTGTTAGGGCTTGTCCCTGAGCAGCCTGGCCGGGTGAGCCTGGGGATGAATGAGGCTGTTTCCAGCTCCTCGGGGGGGCTGGGGATTGGGGGTCGGGATGTCCTTGTCTCCGGTAGGCTCTGGGGAAAGACTATGGGGAGCAGTCTGGGGAGACTCAGCACTGTGGCCTATCACTGTAGTACAACCATCCCTTCCGCCATGGGGAACATGAGCCTCCCACCAGCCTCTCCCTACCCAGCACTCCCCAGACATCCCTGTGCTCCAGTGACCCCCCTAGGACTTTCTTCACTGGCTTGGGCTGGGCGCTTTCCAGCCATCGTGCTCTGAGACTTGGGCCCTGTTCAACTCAGGCAAAGTCAAGGCCCCCTAGGCGTATTCTGAGGAGAAGGCCCCTCTCCATGGTGGGCTCCCCGGCCCATAGACACCACATCTCTAAGGGACGGGGAACCCTGCATGCTGGGGTCCTTCAGCACCTCTGAACTGAAGCCAGGAAGGGCTGAAGTTCCCCCATTGACATGGCCCACGTTCTGGCAAGAAATAGAGGGGGATGCCCTAGAGACCTCATCTCCGCACTCCACAGGTAGGTGACTCATGCCAAGGCCCTGCCAATACCCTGGTGTGGGGGAAATTGCTCTGACCCCAAGTCAGGCCTGTGTACGTGAGTAAGAGATTAGGGCATTTCATGGCGACTGGGCCTCCCAGCTGCTGCTGGCTCTGAGTATGGTGAGGAAATAACCCAGGCAGAGCCGTCAAGGGAGGAGATCACGGAGAAGAAAGGCTGGTGTTTCCACGGCACCTTCTGTGCTGGACAGTCCCAAATGCCTGATAAACCGTCCATTAACCGACCGCTTTTGTCTCGGGTTAGGTGGAGGTAAAGGTCCAATCCTGCCCTCCACGTGTGATCGGGGGACTCCTTGTGGAAGGATCTCTTGTGAATAAGGGCTGCAGGGGCAGGCTTTGCGTCAGCCAGCAGAGATGGGACAGATCCATTCGGTCAGCTGGCCGCCAGCCCCAGGTGGCTTCTGACTGCAGTTACCAGCACCTGGTCAAATCCAGTCCTCGCTGCTCCAAAGCGAGGGGCTTCCATCGCTCCTGGGAGAGATTCCCCAGCCTCGAGCAGCTTTCCCCTTCCTAGGCCTTGTCCGCACTGGGGATTTCTGACCATGGTGGCCCAGCCAGGGGAGCAAATGCACCAGTGCAAACGCCCAAGGTCAAGCTTCGCCCTAAGGGTACGTCTACACGGCGATGCAACACCTGGGTCAGCTGACATGGGCCGGCCACGGGTGTTGAATGGCCGTGTAGACCTACCCTAAGATGGTGGTTTTCAAACTTTTTTTCTGGCGACCCAGTTGAAGAAAATTTTTGATGCCCATGACCCAGTGGAGCTGGGGATGAGGGGCTTGGGGTGTGGAAGGGGCTCAGGGCTGGGGCAGAGGGTTGGAGGGTGGGGGTGAGGGCTGCGGGATGGGGCCAGGAATGAGGGATTCAGGGTGGGTGGGGCTCGGGGTTGGGGTGTGGGCGGGGCTCAGGGCTGGGGGCAGGGGGATTGGGGGTGCAGGATGGGGGTCTGGGGCTGGGGGTGCAGGCGTCTGGGGTGGGGCCAGGGATGAGGGGTTTGGGCTGCAGAAAGGGGCTCCAGGTTTGGGGGGGCTCAGGGCTGGGATTGGGGCATGGACTTACCTCGGGCAGCTCCTAGTCAATGGCACAGCTGGGGTGCAGTGGCAGGCTTCCTGTCTGTCCTGGCATGTGAACCGCGCTGTGCCCTGGAAGCGGCCAGCAGCAGGTCCAGCTCCTAGGCGGAGGCATGCAAGCGGCTCTACACAGCTCTTGCCAGCAGGCACCGCTCCCTCAGTTCCCATTGGCCTGTGTGGAACAGGTACAGACTAGCCTGTCATAGCCGGGCAGCACCGCCGATGGGACTTTTAACGTCTCGGTCAGTGGTGCTGACCAGAGCCTCCGCGACCCAGGGCCTTACATTCTGTCCTGGGTCGCGACCCGCAGTTTGAAAACCACTGGTCTAAGAAACGATTTGCTTTGACCTGGTGCAGGTGGCCTCTGCTTGAAACCAGGTAAGAAGAACTAATGCAAATCCTGGCTCAACCTGTCTACATCAGGCCTGGCCATGGTGGCTGAACCTGGAGCAAATGGCTAGTGTAGACCAGATCTTGCCTGTGATCCCCTTCTCCTATCTATCCCACCTTGTCCGTGCCTGTGTGCGGAGATGTGAATCTAAAACCATGAGCTTGGAATACGGCCATTCCGGAGGATCTCTGGATTCCAGGATATGGGGAATTCAAAGCTCCAAGCACAATCGGACCCAATGGCCCAGATTCCCTGACCAGCTGGTGGACGTTGTAGCAGCAAGTGTTAACATCTCATTCTGAGGAAGTTAGAGAGGGCAGGGTTTGAAATTGGCCTTATAAAAAGATGACTTGCTGAGTCACTATCTTGGAGCCAATAGACCCCCAAATTGCAAGGCAGCCATCTCTGGGGAGGAACACGGCAGCTGTTTAACAGCGCACAGCAACACGGCTTGCCGGTTTGGGGCAGGAAATGAAGGCGAATAGCATATCCGCTTGAGGCTGCGGGGGGGAGCTAAGGGAGGCGGGATCAATGTTACCGAGATGGAATTTGAGCAGGACGTGAGAACTATCGTGTTGTGGGAGCTTTAATGAGCAGAAATAGTGAGGCCTTTGGTTTTGCCCACCACCTGCATGCTGGCACTTCCCTTCTACGCAGCACCATGGATGGGAATTAGGTCAGTACAGCGTCAAAGGGAAGAGCGCCACCTACTGACTCACCAGCCTGACTTCTGCTGCAGCTGGGTGGGTCTTGGAGGGGTCTCCCATCCCAGTAGTGACCCAGCCAGAGACCGAGGAGGGAGAAAACACAGGTAGCAGTTTCTAAGCAAACAAGCCCTTTTATTACTTCAGAATGTGATACTCCTGGACATAAAAAGCGAACATCTCGCAAAGTCTTCAGATCCTAACGCTTAAAATTCTCGTCTCCCGCCTCCCCCGAGAAATAATATTAAGCATAAGAAGAGAGTTTCAAATAACAATTAAATTAAACATTAAAAAAATAGCTCGTGATTTCAACCACAACAAAAAACACAACACGACGGTAGTTTAGTAGGATTAAAGTCACACCAAACGCCTCACTAACTAACTAAGAGACAAGGTGGGGTGCAGAGAGCCTGCCAGGCCTCACGGGCACCGGCTCCTCCCCGCGCCTGATAGCTAAACTGCATTGGAAACCAAACACGTCCTTCATTTCTCTGTGAGAGCCACTAATCACCATCAGAGATTCTCCTTGGGATGGGCAAAGGCTCCAATGATCTAGCAGAGTCCTACAAGGGTTGGCTACGTCTCCCGGTCCATCCGTGCTCACCTCTGTACGGCTCCGGAAAAGCGGATGAGCATCACTGCCTCCATTTTACAGATGGGGAAACTGAGGCACAGAGCGGTGAAATGAGTGGGCCAAAGGGCCAGGGAAGCAAGTCAGCATCAGAGCTGGGAACAGAAGCCAGGGCTCCTGACTCCTTGCCCCATGTCCACAAACCAGTCGCTCAGAACAAGGTTCCAGTCCGTCCTAGCCCAGAGACAGCTGTGCTAACACAGGGACAGCAGCCAGCCATGTTTCACTGACAGGCAGGTCCTCATTGGAACCAAATCACAGTGACTATCCCTTTGGTCGGAAAGGGAAATCGGTGAGCAGGGACCTGCCCTCAGCACCAGCCTAAGGGGCTGGCACAGCCAGGGCCGCTCCCCTTGGCAGCTGGTATCTTGAAATGAGAACTGTGCTTAAAACTGAACTGTGAACAAACCCAGTCACATTAGTCCTGGACGTGCTCTGGCCTTTCGCCCGTCCTTAAGGCTTGATCTCGCCCTGTGCCACTCAGCGCACCCCCTGGGATATTCCTGATGGCTAACAGGGAAAGGGGCCTAGAGAAAGTCAAGGAGGCAGCCCACGGCTTTCCCCCAGGGATCGCCGGCAAGGGGATGAAAGGCGCTCACCCTACCTGGAGAGTTGGCCGCAGCCCAGGCTGCTGGAACTAACCTCATCCAGCAACAGCTCCTGGCCACCGCCGCGGCCTCAGGCTGGATTCAAACTCGCCACAAAGCGAGGGAGCTTTGTAGGGGTCCCCTGCGCCACAGACCTTTGACTGCGGGATCGACCCCATGCGCAGCTGGCTCCAGAGGAGTTAGAGGAGACGGGCGTTAACACCACACGCTTGCTCAATGCCTTTGGGTCTCCGGCGGGCGGCTGGTCCAGATTCGCAGCCTGCCATGGCTACGAGCTAATGGAGACGGGGTTAGCGCCAGTGGGCGAGGGGTGGGGCTGGCGGGGCCTTGCGTCGCTAACCTACATGGATATAAACCAAGTTTAATTTGGATTAAGGGCGTTGACGCTATGTTTTGCTCTGGTTCGACTAAACCGGTTTGAAATAACACTTTCAGTTCAGCGGGTGCAACTCTGCCGTAGCCTGTCTCAGCTGCCGCGTCCTCCCACTCTCTGCTGGCAGCTCAGACTGGTGGGTAAAGACTTGATGCCAGTGGAAGGATTTGCTCTCCAGCCAGCAGCACGTGGGGCAGGGCTGTAGCCTTCGCGGGCACCTGAGCTCGCTGCCCCAGTGTCTAACTAACTAACGCGGTGCAGGCAGGCAGCGAGAACGCGAACTCAGGGCTTGTCTTCGCTGCAGAGGGAAGTCACGTTGTAACTCGGGTGTTGCCCCTAGCTTGAGTCCCGCTCCCACACATGGGCTGGCCCGCCGGGGGGTACAAGCTACAGCTCGAGTGAGCTGAACGCAGCAGCTGCTCACCCCTCTGCAGTGTGGACGCAGGCGAGCGCCACTCTCCAGAGCTGGCAGTCCTCTGACAATTCCCCCCATGGGCCCAAAGGACAGGCGGGTTCTCCCACGCTTCCCTGGGAAAGGCCCCCTCGCTCACTGCAGCGCGAAGGTCCACGGGCTGTGCCCCTAGACATCTCCGACCCGAGGGGAGGAATAAAGCGCCGGGTACAAACGCTGCCCCCTGCTCTCATGGACGGTGGGCACAGATGAAGGCAGGACCCTTGGGTCTCCAGGCCCAGTGTGGAACAGCTAGAAGATAGGGCAGCAGTGCATGGACCCTGGCTGGACGCCTGATGGGCAGGGCTGAGCTGGCAGGAAGGATGCCAGGGAAGATTGGCCAGCGGGTTGCGCACTTGCCTGGGCCGGGGGTGACGTGGGTTTAATTCCTGCTCCGCCACAGACTTCCCCTGTGACCCTGGGCGTGGCCCATCGGCCCTGTCTACACTGGGAGTGCTTTAGCAGGATACTAAGGGTAACCGCTACAGCCGGGGAGGAGAGAGAATGGGGACCAGAGGAGGACGGAGGACTCAGGAGTGAGGGGCGGGACCATTGCCCCCGCCATGGGCTCCCACAGTCAATGCGAAGGGCTGAGATGGTCTTTACTCCCCCAATACTTCTGTTAGTCTTAAAGGTGCCACAGGACCCTCTGTTGCTTTTTACAGATTCAGACTAACACGGCTACCCCTCTGATACTTGACTCCCCCGCTGACCCTCGACACCCCTGCCTGCTCCAATTCTTCGCTGGGTCAGAGGCACTGGGCGGAGAGACGGTTCTGGATGCAGATCCAGATGTTAGTCCCTGGCTAACCACATGGCTGGGACGTAACCCAGGAGGCCGAGGCGCCTGGCGGGAGACAGGGGGCAGCTGTTTTATCATGACCCCAATGGGGAAAGAAGCAACATCTAGATCCAGCGCACTGGCAAGGAATTCCTCCTCGGCTCCGGGCCAAGCTTCCCAGGTTAATTCCAGGCTCCGAATCCGAGTCAGCGATTCCCCACCTCTGGGCGGATGCAGGCTCGTGTCCCCACTTAAGCAGCTCGCGGGCTCCCCTCAATAGATCGCTCCAGCCCGTTGCTCAGCCTGGTTGCTCGTCTCCGCTCCCTGGTGACCGGAGCGCTGTAACCCAGGGGAAGAGGGAGAGGTCCTGCCCACTGCTGCCCACAGCACTGCAAGCCCGCGGGATGCAGGAGAGGGCCAGGCTTGGCTGAAGGGGAAAGTCCGTGCAAAGGAGGAGGAGAGGCCTAAACCGGAGCAAGCCCAGGCTGCCTGGCAATGAAACAAACAAGACAAACCTTCTTCCCCTCGTTCAATAAATACGCAATAACTTAGGCACCAGAGCGCCCTGCTCCCAGGCCTTCTGCAGTGAGGCCTCGGCCACTTCCAACCCCCAGCTACGGGACTGCTCAGCCCACGTGCGGCTCTCTGCCCCCCTCCCACCCATCGCCCCCTTGCTCTGGGTTGGCTCAGGCCCGATTCCTCCAGGAAGCCATGGGAGGCGAGGACAGGTAGGATCTGGGTTGCCGTGGGGCAGCTCCTCCCCACTCCGCGCCCACAGCCCCATCTCTGGGGTGCCCCCTGCAGACGCAGCACTAAGCCAGTGTCCCACGCGCTGCCCCTGCCCCCCATGGGGATGCAGCCCGTGGCTGCCTCGAGTCCCCTCCCTCCCCGCCAGGGGGAGGGGGGCGCAGGCACAGTGAAAGCCCCCGAGATCCTGACGTAGGAGGGGGCAGGAGGGGGCCGGGGGATGCGAACAGGAGTGGCAGGCCCGGGCCCTGGCGTGGGAGGTGCAGATTCCTGCTACTTTCTGAGCTTCAGCAGGTTCTCCAGCAGGAGGCGCTTGTGATTGGGATCCAGCACGCCGGCCTCCTCCAGGTCCTCGTCGGTGATGTCACTGGAAGGGGGGGAGAGGACAGAAGTCAGCAGCCAGCCCCCCATGCAGCCCCGGAGATCAGGTGACTAAACAGCCACCCTCTGATTGGAGAAGCACAGACACCGGTAAACCCTCGCAGCACCCCCACCCCGACAGCCAGAGGCGGGGGATATTATTTACCCACACGAGTCAGTGGCAGAGCCCCAAATAGAACCCAGGCGTCCTGGCGCATGAGCCCCCCTGCTCTAACCACTAGGAAACACTTCTCTGACTTCTCACCTCACCAAGAAGACCCAGGCGTTGGGGAGATCCCCCCGGCGCATGCTTCTGAGGTGCCTGGAGAAAGCAGGGTTTGCCAACAGGGACCCCTGCCTGGGATCAGTGACCCTTCCCTGCCAAGAAGGCTGGCGGCGCCAACCCGGCACCCTTCCCTGCAGAGACCTCTGCCATGGGCAGACGTGGCACCGTCACCCCACTACAGCAGGACAGGAGCGGGCGTCAGGCGACCGGAGCCGTGCACCACAACTGTGCCACGCGGCAGGTAACCAGGTGTCTGGACAAGAGGCACCTTGCACTACACGCCTGCACTAGAGGACCGAACCCCTATAAAGGACCATATAGACTGCTGCCCCTCTCAGCTGATCCTGCTCTGGGAGAAGGTCCCTGGTTCTGCAGGGCAGCGGCGCCCCCTAGCGGCACAAAGGCCAAACTTCCACCCTGTGCTCCCGAACCCATCAGCATGCTGGGATGGAGAGCGAGGGCCCCGGAGAGCCAGAAGGATGTTGGCATGCCAGGTCTGTGGAACGGGCCGTGCCCCCAGCAGCTGGCATTTGCTAAGATCCTGGGCAACCAGGAGACGTCTCTACTCATCTGTTCTCCTTCTACGCCCCCCACCCTGCCCCTCTCCCCATTCATCATGCTGCCCCTTACTGCCCCGGCCAACCGGGCAGATGTAGTTTGTGCGAACCCCCCCCCCC